GAAGCAATAACATATTGAAGAGGGTAGGACATATCAAATACTACAGAGCATTTGATTGGTCAGAAAATTTTATAAGAAAAATGAAGTATGTGGTGATGTCAACCCCTGATGCTGTTTAGAAAATTGAACTGATCAGTAGGCCTGTCATAATAATCAATATATTGACTTATCACACAACACATGGACATAACCTCAATAATTTTTGATGATGCAATATATCGCCCCTTACATAAAAAACAACTCTAGCAACATTTTACCCTCAACCTCAACAACCTCTCTTTCTCTCTCTATATATAGTTGAAGTCAGAATTATTAGCCCCCCTTTGATTTTTTTTTCTTTTTTAAAAATTCTTCTGTAGAAAGTCTTATCGTGTTTTAATTTGGCTAGAATAAAAACAGTTTTTATTTATTTTTAAAAACCATTTTAATGTCAAAATTATAAGCCCCTTTAAGCTATTTTTTTGCTGTGTACAGAACAAACCATCGTTATACAATAACTTGCCTAATTAGCCTAACCTGCCTAGTCAACCTAATTAACCTAGTTAAGCCTTTAAATGTCACTTTAAGCTGTATAAAAGTGCTTTGAAAAATGTCTAGTACTATATTTTCATCACGGCAAAAATAAAAAAAATCAGTTATTAGGAATGAGTAATTAAAACTATTATGCTTAGAAATGTGTTAAAAAAATTTTCTGTTAAACAGAAATTAGGGAAAAAATAAACAGGGGGGCTAATAATTCAGACATAATATATATATATATATATATATATATATATATATATATATATATATATATATATATATATATATATACAGCTGAAGTCTGACTTTTTTTATTTTAACGGTAAAAGTCTGTAAATCTACAGTGAAAAACTGTTAAACGATTAACAGCTAATTTCAGTGCAAAATACGGAAAATAGCTGTAACAGATCTAACCTTCGTTTTCGAGAAACTAATCAGAGTGTCTGAAATCTAACCACATCATTTACTAGTCCCTAAATTAGTTATTTAGTTTAGTGCACTAGACAAAGTGAAACGAACAAGAAATAAAACTACAGACACAGCCTCGCACCAAACCAACTGAATTAAAACAGAGAATTAAACAACTCCATTAAATAACAGCATTAGCAGCTTCACTGATTACAGTTGGACTTCAGTTCTCTCATATCTGCAAAAATATTTGATAATTAACAGAGGTTTATATTTTTAATCAAAGTTTTTGATTTGACCTCACCATCATGGAGATCAAAGACTGCTTTAGTTGAGCTCTTGGACCGGTACTCTTATATCTTAATGTTTCTCTAGCTGTTCACTGTGTTTCTGAAACTCATCAGTTATAGCAAGTAATGTGATGAAACTTTTACGTACTTAATGCAGAGTGAATTTCATAAGTCATAAAAAAATGGCAAGTTATTCTATTTAATTTATGTGATAGTACTTGGGACAGTAGTACAGCATCCAGAAGGGTCACAAACAATTATGAAAGAATTAATAATTATTATAGCAACTCATTTGCGACACACAGACATTAAGAATAAGGATATGAACCTCAACCATGGTTGCTAAAAAAAAAAAGCTGCTTAATATATTCATTCCGCAATGCATGCTGGGTACCAGCATATTACAAAACTCCCAGCATACATTGCAACATGAATAAATTATGCAGCTTTATGCTCTTTAAATTTCTTTCTTTGACATTTATTTTGTTTTTGGGAGGTAATTTTTCAGAGTGTTTTGTATTGTTCTGGGTTGTTTTTTTATTTGATTTTTATTTTTTTGTTTGTCACCATTATTGAGATTCAAAGACTAATTGTTGATGTCTGGGTGTTTTTGAGTTCTGCCATAGTTCAAACATTCTCATTATGAATGGTGTATTCAGACCTGTTAAACTGGCATTTATTGCTGAAGCTTCCTTTTTTTTTTCTTTCTTTTGAAATCAAGGAGTTGAAGATCCCAGCTAAAGAAAACTGTCCTCCATCATATGGTGACTTCAAATGAACAACAAAATTTTCATTAAGAGCTTTTGTTTAGATGACAGAAATAAAGTGAAGCTCCTGATGTTTGTGGAGTTGTTTATTGATCTCTGCTGAGATCTTGAGAAATTACATATTATTGTGTAATTTGTTTTATTTTTGTTAATTATTGTTTTATTAAGAGTTTTATTCTGTTGATTTCATCTTTAATTTTGGCTGTAATTTGTGCTATTTGGTCTTGTTCTTTCCTTCAGTGATTCTGCTGTTAACAGATGTTCATCAATAATTCTCGATCCTCCTTTAATTAGACACTTATTAGTTAGTAGTGTCTGTGTGCAAGTCCAAGATGAACTAAGGCAATCTGATGTTATGCTGCATCTTCTTTTGTTTAAATATAACTATGTGGTTACTAATGCAGTGAAAATCTGTTTGTTAATTACAATAACAGATGAGCACAATATTGCATTTAATGACTTTACACTATTTAAAATTTTTTTTAGTGAACTGATGTACAATAGTTATCAATATGCTCAGATATATTACTTAGACATTTAAAATATTGATTTTAATGCCAGTAAATTTCAATTAAAATGTATTTGCTTTCTGCAAATATAAATAATTAACTCAAAGGTTTGTAAATTATCATTGCATCAGTTAATTAATACATTTTAAAAACTATTTAACAGAAAAATTCTGTATTCTTTTACAAAAAAGTTCTGGCAACCATAGCTGCCAGTATTTTTCCATAAATTTTACAGAATTTTTTTACAGTGTATATATATATATATATATGGGTGCCTGACAACTGAAAACTTTTTAGTCTCTGTTACCTTTTACCTTGCACTTTTTAGTTGAAAGTTATTATTTTTTGTTTTTTTACTATTACTATTACTATTATAACTATTAAACTGTTAAAAGCACTATAATTAAATTAAATTATCTTTGTTCATTGTAAGAGTGTACCTACATTATAATGCTATTATATTGTCATTCTGGCATTATAAAATATGCATGGGATGCCATGGTCTTAAAATGACAATAATATTGTTTATCGCAATTTATTTTGGTGCAATATAGCACTAGCAGGACAAGTGCACTGAAAGAGATCTTTAGCTCCAATCACTCCAATGAAAGACCACAACTGGCCATCTTTACATTTATGTACTTCTGATTACTACATTGTTTTAATATAATTGTGTAATCCCAATGTTTCATGGATTTTTCCCTTATTCGCTACAAATCAAAGATTGTAATGTTGTTAATAACCTCATAGATGCTTGATTTGCTTTATGACTTTAAAAGCTTATTTAAAATACTTCTGTAACCAGCATTGGTAAAAAAAAAAAAAAAAAAAAAAAAACTGACATGCACAAATGCACTCTATAGGCAGAGACAGCTGCAAGAAAGCCAATCATTGGCTGATTGCACTGCAAAGTGCAAACGTCATGGCGTTACCAAAACATTGCTTTGCTTGTATAGAATTCCCAATGGTGTAAACTGGGGGTAGGACTGTCTGCTTGTCAAACCAACAGTTTGTGATCAGAAAATCTGTCTGACAGCAACATTTGGTTTTGCGTTTCCATTCGTTGATGGCATAGGGCATTGGTGCAGAGAAATAAACACTTCTTCAATAACTGGATAATGCTAACCCTTAATCTAAAAAAATTATACTTTACATTTATTTTATCAAGTATACTTAACCCATCTAAATGCACAGGGTTTGTGGGTTCGAAGACAATGACAACTGATCTGTAACATAATTGTAATACAAATGAACTTACACAGGCATTTACTTAAATCATACTAAGTACATTCTGGATGGTTGAATATAGTTTTAAGTATACGTCAATAAACATGTATTGGCCAAGTGTATACAAGTTCTGTCGGTATCAGTCAAATATACTTAATTGCAATTTTGAGTATAATTCTGAGAACCTCCTTTCTTAAAAGTATTAAAAGTCAGCAAGAAATCAAATGTACAATGTTTATTTTGCTAGCTAATAATGTTAATCTTAAGGCGAATAATTAATCTGTGCAGGTTAATTCACTGAAAAACATAATTGTTTTGGTAATCTTCAATCAAAGTCTGACCATTTACTTTCAGCTTTGGAGTGGTGAACCTTCTGTTGACATCAACTTGAGGGCTTCGACTCATGAAAATCCATTTAAACCAATCAGAGGATGACTGAGGATCTGCTAAAGTGTTTCTAGAAAAGTATGTCATATGTTTGGCCACAGGTTCCTGGGTGATGTTTGGCATGATGTCTGAGGCTGAGACGAGAATACATCAACATACTAAAATAAAAGTCTCGGCAACTTCCGGTTTACACTAACTTTAAGAAGTAGACAGAAAGTACATATTCTTATTTTTAGTTTAAATGAAGTATCCTAATAATAGCACACTTAAATAAACCTCTTATTGGGAAGAAGTTAAAATTGCACAATTTTTTTCCATTATTAGGTTGAAATGCAGTTGTTAAGTTATTATGATGTGTCTGTGTGCTATATGCATGGCTATATGCATGTTAGTGTCCAAATAAAATACCTTTGTAGCTTTTTTTTCTGTTCCATCAATAAAGCTTTGTTTGCTCCAACAATGTAAGCCCTTTTCTCCTATATCTTTACCAGGTGAACATCACAAGTTTGCTAACTAAAAGAAATGGCACATCTTAACAAGCCACTTGGTTTTAGACAAAATAAAATAATCCACAGTAAGGACAGAGTATCAGTCACATGACAAAGTCTAAGTCAGCAAATATGGGGCCCTTTGAGGAAGTAAACACTTCAGCTGAAAATCTTTAGATATGTGGGCAATAAAATGCAATGCATATTCCACATGTCACTGGCCAGAGTGGATTCATATCCCTGTGTGAATGTACAGTTTCCAGTCTGTTCTTTTAAGTAGAAAACAGTCTACCTTTTCCTGAGATATTTTGGTGAAAAACAACAGTAATCTAAAGCAACATTCTAAGATTGTAAAGGCTACTTACATTGTCATACACCAAATAATATTTCTGTTGTACTCACCAAGCCTTTGCAGTTGCTCAGTGCCACTTTTGTAGTGCTATATTGATCCAATAGGTATCCAACATAGTGGCAGTTATCGACCACTGAATGCTGCCAGTCTAGTCCATCTTTGCCCCAGTATTCTACCGTGAAATGTTTAGAAACCAGGTTGGGGTTGAGTGTCAGGTTCAGGTGAAAGTGCTTTCCATAGGCTGAGAGTTTGTAAAAAAGCCTGGTTTCGGTGTGGTCCAGCTCAGTCTGGTCCAGTCCACGTCGCCGCCGTCCAGGCCTGTAATGCTTCACAGTGTAACTCATGAACTGGCCCTTCTCGTTCACCCGCACTGGTACTGTTAGCTGATAGTGCTCCAGCGTGGACAGGAATTCCGCTTTTTTTTTTGTTGATGTGGGAAATAAAGTGAAGCAGATAACAGCATGTGAACAAAGGAGAGTGTAATCAAGAGAAACACAAAATCAACAAGCAATTTCAGCACTGTAAAGTAGCAGGTGTGCTCAGAGGAAAGTTTAATTGCTCTTTCACAGATTAGGAGATTGGGAGGTTGTGTTGACACTTGTTTGATTGTCTTGGCATTTTATGACATTTAGTCCTGGTTTGCTTAACATTTCCCCTGCCATTTTGAAGACTTAACCTGAAAATACAGTGAATGGCTTTTATGATTCATATTTTGTGACAGAACTTCCTGAACATCTAAAGCAATACTTTGTGCATAGGTTGAGTTGTGAGTACATTTGATCCAAAAATCTCATGAAAAGCTTGTAAAATATTTAAAGAAGTCAAAACAAAACAGGAATTCTCATTAAAAAATCTGCTAATCCAATCACAAGTGGACAGAGGAGACACATTACTGTTCACATGCACACATTTAAACACACACATTTGTTTCCTTTGTGTGTCCACTTTCAACCAGTTCTCTGAAGAGGGTCTGTGGGCAGGTATTTCTCTGATCCTTCGACATAATACTGCAAGAAATAGCACAATTTTCACCATTTACACAAAAGTCACTGTAAACGTTTCCAGATCAATTAAGTGAAGTTTATTTGTAAACTAATTTAAAGGGGATCACGTGCTTATGATTGCTTGTGGCTGGTCCTGCATTATTCAATTTATGATTCACCAATCACACGATTACTAAGCCACTATGAATACCTTAAGTTCCATATAACAGCCATTTTCTTTTTAAAAGAATTTCCCCTTCCACCCCTCCTCCTCCTTTCTTAGATAGGTGGAACGGTGGCCCAGTGGTAAGCACTTTTGCCTCAAAGCAAGTACGTCACTGGTTCTAGTTTTTAGCTAGTCAGCCGACGATTCTGTGCGGAGATTACACGTTCTCCCCATCGCTTATGTGGGTTTCCCCTGGATTCCCCGGTTTCCTCTTATCGTCCAAAAACATGCAGCGTAAGTTAATTGACTAATCCAAACCGGCACCATAAACATTCTCCTAGTCAGTTAGTTATCTCTTAAGAACAATCACTATCTATTCATTAGCTACTACAGCAGGGGAGTTCTCGAGATCTACCTGAGCTTAAACTCCACTCTTGTCTTGCAAACGGGAGGGACCCCGTGGGGTCGAGGATCTTATGAGCTCATGGCTCTCTCCCGGAACAGCATGACAAACAAGCTTTATAATCAATCATTAGCTAAGTATAAGCTCTTAAAACATGCTTTACGAATAGGCTACTTTATTAATTGACCAATTCATTCAACCGTCAACTTATCCAGCATACTGTATGTTTTACACAGTGGATGCCCTTCCATCTGCAACCCATTACTGGGAAACATCCATACATACTCATTCACAACAGATAATTTAGCTACCCCAATTCACCCATATCACAAGCCTTTGGACTTGTGGGGAAAACCGGAGCACCCGGAGGAAACCCATGCAAAGACGGGGAGAACATGCAAACTTCACACAGAATCGCCAGCCGAGGCTCGAACCAGAGACCTTCTTGCTGTAAGGGGATTGTGCTACCTACTGCGCCACAGTGCAGCCCTGAACTGACCAATTAACTAATAGATAATTGATTTTTATAGATACAGACTTAATTCTGTTTTACAGTTTTAACATGTGTATGCTTTTATTTTTCACATAAGAGCACTACATGAAAGCTGATCTTTGAAGAGAATAAAGAAGTCACATTTCAAAAATCTTATTTTCAGATAAATACATGAGCTTATTTATTTATAAACCTATGGTGAGAAAAAACTTTATAGTACAATACCAAAGATTACCACTGTCAATGAGTATGTTTACATTCACACCAATAATCTGGTTAAGACAATACTCTGGTTAAGTGTCTACCATGTACAAAGCGGTTTTTGATTACCTTAATCCAACTAAAGTCATAATTAAAACTAAACAGAAATGGAATTAAGACAGGTGGATTTTGCCTATTTTAGGCACATTATTGAAGTACAGTACAGACATGTAAACACCTTAATCAAACTATTATCATCAAGTAGGATTTTTTATGCAATTTGTGACAGGGTAGTCCATACACACACGGCTGTTTGACACTATTCTCTGCACCTACCGAGTCGGTAAAGGACCACAGACACAGAGTTTGAGCTCATGAGTTTTTTTTCTTTTCAGGATGTGGTATCAAATTCCATTGAAACAACACTTTTCCACCAGTTCTTACTTCATAGATGCATCCAATACCCCAATTCCAGTAGGGGCAAATAATTTGATTACTGATGTCTATGTAAACGTAGTCAATGTTTAAATCAGCCTCTCCAGCTACTGGGTTTAGGAATGAGCTCAGAAGGCGGAGAGCAGCCATGTTTAAACTACCTCTGGAAATTGGTTAAAGATGGACAAGCTCAAAATGTATTTAGCCTGGTCCACTTGTGATCGGATTGATGCCGGGTGTGACCTGGAAGTCTTGAGCATTCTGTCTTATTTCTTTGCATTTCACAACACCATGTGCAATTTTGGCTTTTATTTTGATGTCTTTGATTTGTGCTGTGTTCCTATTTCAGCTAAACTGTCTAGAAGTTGACCCAATCACCTTGGTCCACTTGTTTTTTCGCATTAACTTTCAGATGTTAGCATTCACGCTTTGTCAAATAAACTGCAATAACACAGCAAATCAAATCAAATCTACAATGTATGAACACACCCTGTATGTTACATTGAATTATAGTAGCAAACCTGTCAAAAATAGATGCATATGGATTCAAATTAATGTCGATAGCATAGCTTTTTAATGCAGAATAATTTAATGTTGGGATAATGATTTTTTAATACAGAAATACTTCCAATGTCTCAGGTGTTTCAGACTACAGCACTGAAAAGTCAGCCAATGAAGACTTTTACAAAAGACTTCTGCTCAGAAATTTGGACTTAAATGGTCAAAGTTGAATAACCACTCTTTTTCACCCTTAATACCACGGCTGAGGTGAATCCCTTGAGCAAGTTACTGAATCCCCAACTGCATAGTTTGTTCACAGTGTAATTGTGTGTGAATGACTTTGGATAAAAGTGAATAAAATATAAATTTAAAATGTAATTCCATTTATTGGCTGATGCAAAAGAGATACTTAAAAGGAAGTGTAACTGAGAACTCCATTACAAACAGTTAGAAACGCAAAATAAATATTTTCATGTTTAAAACCCTTCTGGAAGGCTACTGTCCAGCAGAGTTTAGAGTTTAGTCTGTGAGAAATCTAATAATACTATGTTCAATTTGCTAGCACATATTGTTATGCTTCAGGTGTACAATTAACATGTACAGTTAACATGTACAAGTACAATTAACATGTACAGACCATTGAAAAAAAAATGTTTGGTAATCTTCAATCAAAGTCTGACCATTAGCTTCTGTGTTTGTATTGGCAGTTCTTCTTTGATGAATTCAGTTTGATGCTTAAGCCACAATATTCTTAACTATGCCCCTCTTAAAGTTAGTTTGTTACAAATTAATAATGCACAAAAAGAAAGCCCACCCCATACTAAATATTTCATTTCATTTTGTAAGAAGTACCAAAAAAAGGCTCAGCAATTTCTGGTTCCCACAGGGTTTAAACTACCAGTTACTCTTCAGACTGACTTTCAGACAAGTTTGTTGAAGATCACTAAAGTCTAGAGGACGCTGATTCTCCAAGAGCAGGACTGAAAATCTCTGCTCTAGAAGAAAACGTGTTGTTACTGTTGATGTTTCTTGCAGGAAAAAAAAATCTGAAGCAGAAGGAAGCAATACTCTACATTTGATCTCTATTGAACCTCACTGAGAAAAGCTGAGATACAAAAGGAACTGTTCCAAGTTCAATGCATCAGACTAACACTAAATGAAAAGACGTATGTGCTTAATCAAATTAACAGGATAATAAACATTCAAAAATTACAGCTAAAACACTATCGCTCTCAAAAGAATAAGAGTTTAATGGGACAACGTATTAACCTACACGGTTGTCATTAGGTCAAACAAGTAATACAGAAGTAATACAAAAAAACATAGTTTTATTATTTGCACCACTACCCACATTAAACCAGTAGCTATCCTAAATATATATATAAAACAATATATACACAAAAACAAATTATAAATAAAGCCGCAAACAGCAATGAAAGGGACCTCATACCTAAATATACAAGAGACTTTTTTGTAGGTACTGGCATGTTTGATGCGTGTGCCAATTTTCGTACAAGTGTGTGAAATGTAACTCCATCAAAAGAGTACATACATGTAGGTGGCACTGTCGGGTCATTTTGCCACATAACAACAAAAAATAGAATAGATTTCCACTAACTTTTTGAAAAGTGCATTATAATGTATAAGTGTGAATTAGCTATGTATACGCTTGACAGCTGAACTGTCAAACCTACTCACACCTTAAAAGTTTATGATTTTGTATTTACTGCATTGTTAAAATGCACACTTTTTGTAAAGTTGCTTTGGAAGAATAATTATTGTGAATTTGTATTGCTTTACAAACACATTCTAAATTAACTGAATATCCATGAGAACTTCACAAAAATGGCACACATTGTTATTAAAGAGCCGTTTTAATGTTTGAAAGAAAAATAAAATAAATAGTGGCAGATAGTGTTAATTTAAGTGAGAAATAGGGCGTTTAATTCCTACCTAAATAGTTATGTTAACAAGTTGCCTGCTGTGTTCATCCAATCAGTGTTGCTGACATTGCAAATACGCATTGAAGGACATTAACCAAGGGTTAAAAATTACAGAAAGTGAAACGTAAGGGTATGAATTCCTAGGATTAACTGTTAACTCAGGTAAAGAGCAGTCTAAAACTTGACACAAGATAACCAGAATTCAGTTTACCTAGTGACCCAGACTTAACCTTCATTTATGGAGGTCAACAAAATTTTCATTTGTTTCTCAGCTTAAATTTCTTTATAAAAGACTTTTAGAAAACAAGCTTGCATGAAGCATTACTGAGCAATGAAAGTTTCCTCTGGGTAGAGTTGAAAGTGTCTTAATGACATCAGTGTGAGCCAAAATGAGTTATGGCTTGTTGAATTTTTAGAACTGCTATGACATCAGCTGTTACAGCAACAGTCATCTTTCTGTTCTTATCCACACATTATTAAGCTTACCTTGAGAGTTGTACGAAAGGATCTGAGCTTCAGCAGCGGCCAAAACCAGGCTAAATATCCAAGTCAGCGTCTTCCAAAAAATTTCCATAATTTAGGGAAGATCTGACATGGGGTGGGGGTAGGGGGAGGCTACAAGTGGATTAAAGCGATACGGTCAATCCAGCTTCGCACCATAACACACCCGTGACAAGCATCCTCGATACACTAGAATCCCAAGTCCACAGTTAATTCCAGGTTTAGAAGTCTTCCTAAAGGTGAAGTCTCAAGGAAGGACTCAAGCCTGCATCTTTGTCAGCCATGAGCAGGGCAAGAATCCATAACGACTCCCTTCATGTTATTCCAGAGCAGCAGATCTATATTAGGAACTTGTGCCGAACTATCCATTTGCTTGCCTGCAAATGAATGAGTTGTGGAAAAAAAGCTGTCAGTGGAAAATTGCCAATTTCTCCTGTAATAAAATGCTCTTAAAATACATTCTGACAGAGCGCAATGTTTCAACAGCAAATCCTAATCATGATTCGTCTTATCAAACATCAAAAGCAGATTTCAGGTTTTGTTGCTGTAACATCTGGACAGGTTTTGATCACACACACACACACACACACACACACACACACACACACACACACACACACACACACACACACACACACACACACACACACACACACACACATACATAACTGTGAGCTCATTGGTGTTGAGTGGGATGCAGTAACTTCAGGTTATCATTTTAACACCTGCACTTGACTATTAGCTGCCCTGCCTGTTTCCGACTCAAGGCATGAAACCATGCCGCAAAAACTTGTTGCAAATAACTCGACCGGTGGATGATCAGACTTACAAGTTCCACCAGTTTCAAGACTCTTAACATCTGAATAAGATCAATGCGTGATTCTTACAGTGCTTAGTAACCAAGTGTCATTTTTTGCCAGCACTAACTTCAACTAATGTATTTATTTATTTATTTATTTTTTCCTATTGCTTGATGACTTTTGAAGAGCATTAGGTCTGTTTAGTTCACACAAGTGTGCTATAAAAATAACCACAGGTGCAGAGCTATGATACACTACAATTTGGCAAATATTTTTGAACACTTAAATACAGTAGTCAACATTTGAATTGGATTTGTCCGTCTATATGTTGTTCCATATCTGTATGCATTTCTCAAAAAAAGATATTTTGAAGAATGCTAATGACCAAACATTTCTGATGAATACTAACTCCATTGTATAGACAAAAAAAGATAACAGACATTTCCCAAATCATTATAATTTATGTTCACCAGAGGACACAATCATAAAGCTTTGGATCTATTTATCGAAACACCAACCAATGAATCAACTAATGAATCAACTTATGAATCAATGAATCAATGAATCTATCTATCTATCTATCTATCTATCTATCTATCTATCTATCTATCTATCTATCTATCTATCTATCTATCTATCTATCTATCTATCTATTCAAAGATTCTCAATAGGGTTATAGTCTGGACTCTCTTTTGATCAATACATGTGTAAAAATGCCATCTCATGAATCAATCTTGGAAATAAATGAATGAATGAATTCATCCATCCATCCATCCATCCATCCATCCATCATCTATCTATCTATCTATCTATCTATCTATCTATCTATCTATCTATCTATCTATCTATCTATCTATCTATCTATCTATCTATCTATCTATCTATCTAATGTCAGTCCATCCATTCATTGATCTGTCTATTCATGTCAGTCCATATCAATTTATCGGTTATTATATCAATCATTATTTATATCTGCAATATATGCACAAGGCTATTTGCAAAAAAGGCTGTATCCTTTCAAAACGTAAAATACAATAAGTCTTTTCATTAAAAAACAACAATATCTCTCACAATAAAGTCAAGCAAGATTGTACAGCACGACTTCCACAGCTCCACTTAAAAATAAAACTAAGGCAATTAAAGAAGCAGCTCACCGGATGAACATCAAATCAAATGCCGGCTTTTCTCTACATCAGCAAGCAGAAAAGTGGCCCAGTTCCACCAGATAGGCTAGATTTCCTAAACGTCAGCTCTTTTTGCGTGCGTTTCTTACCAGCAGAAGCTGAAGCGGCAACTGTGCAGACGAACATTCATGAGTATAAAGCGGCTTCTTCCAGACAGCAGCTCGAGTCTAAAACGTGTCTGACCCAGACAGCTGGCAACTGCCCAACACTATTACACTGACCGCTGAAATAAAAACACAAAAGACCAATGAGAAGACTACAAATGTACACCGAGTCTTCTTGCTCTTTTTATCTGCTTGATGAAGTGTATTTCAATAAAGTTGTCGCTTGAGATAAAGCAGTCACAGAGGAGTTACTATTAAAAACAGATTCCGTTATATTGTTATGCATTGATATATTCTGTGTACACTCCACCGGGAATGTCCAGACTGTCTGAAAGACTGTAAGAGATGATATAGTTACCGTCTTCATATTTTGCAGACAGTAGAACTCTTCATTTGAAATCCACTTCAGTGCATTCTTCAGTAAATCTCTCCTTTAGCTTCAAGCCATTCTCTTTATCTCTCATGCCAACAAATGCAGTCCTTGTACAGGGGAAAAACTCTTCATAAACTCACTCACTGCATCAGAAATGCAATGAAAAAAAAATAATTTACAAAATATTAAAAAGTTTGTGCAACTCAGCTCATGTTTAAATGTCAACGTGTCCAGAGATGGCTTATTGGTGGCTCTCGTGATCACTGATTCACCAGAGATGAATAATAACAGTAATGCACCGGTGCGCATGCAGGACTTGCAGCCTTTATTAGTGAAGCCGGATTTAAGCCAGAACTCAAACACTCGCAGTACGAGAGAGACGGGGAGGACCGACATGACGTCATTGCAGATGTGCGTGCCTGCGGCGCACTCCCGACCGTCAGGTGAAACACGTAAGAATTTGGTAACTATTTAAACTGTTTGATAAAATGATTTGGCCACATTTTTGTCCGTGAACTTGAACCATGACGGAAAGACAAAAGTCTACAAATTTTTCGAGTTATTTGTACGAACTTATTTTGACATTACTCACAAAAACGGCAGTGTGGCGAGGACAAATTGAAGTAGGCTAACGTTAACGTTAATTTTATTTAGCTAAGCTTGACATGTAGGCTTTGTTTTGGTTTGTAAGGTCAAGCTACTTTATTCTATAACCATTGTCTTGTATGTATGTGTATCAATGTTTTATTTAGCTGCGTAAAGACAAACTTGTGGCTAAATAAAGTACAGGTGTATTCTTTTGCCTGTAAGACATGCAGACAATAAGCCAAGAGGAATACTGTTTGTTATTAGCCTATAACAATAGCCTGTATACAATTCAAATATTAGCCTATGTCATTAGCTATACACAAATAGTTATCGTCTGGTGTTTCGAAGATCTGGGATTTCATTCTCTTTTAACTCCGTTGTAACAGATGTTTGTCAGGCGAAGACATTTTTTTTACTAGTTTAGAGTGACACCGTGTGGCCATTTTGAGACAGTGCGTTGCTTTACTGTTATGTTCACATTGCACTGTCCATGCAGTGTGTATTTCAACTTCATTTTGTTATTATTTTTTAGTCTAAACATATTCATTGTTGATTGAAAGATTGTTAATAATTTACTGACATGAAAGATTATTGAGAGTCTGGAAATGGCCGTAGATCCATATAACATCTAACCATTAAACTTTAAACTTTAGCATGCTCACTGGAAATATTCATTCATTCATTTTCTTGTCGGCTTAGTCCCTTTATTAATCTGGGGTCGCCACTGCGGAATGAACCATCAACTTATCCAGCAGGTTTTTACACAGCAGATTTTTATTTGTGTTGTGATATGATCTTTCCTCTAACAACTTTTGATGTTGAAAAGTTAAAAAAAGTGTAATTTAATAGTTTAATGTGATATATTGTCTGGTTTATTCTTGTAAATTACATTACAAAAACCTGCTAATAAACTGCAAGTACTTTTTCTGCTCTATTTATACAATATATTGTTTCAAACCACTAAAACTTAAGTAATAGTCACTTTAATAAAATGCAGTTTTATAAAATGCACAGTTGCATTTTCATCATCAAATGTCCACAGAGTAGAAATCAACATTCCATAGTACACTTCACAACTGTAAATAAACAGAAAAAAAAGTAAATTATGAAATACGGGACCTGTTAATTAATGTTTTTTTAAAGTGCTAAATTTTCTTCCATGTTCTTCCAATTGTTTTGATTAAAACATGCCAAAAAAGTTTGTTTTGGTTGTTTTTTTTTTTTTTAATTAAATAAGGCCAGTATTGAAGCTTGTGTGAATTATGGTTTGGATGTAAGAACTGACTCAATTAGCCAAGGCTTTTTTATAAAAGCCCTCTTCCAAAATGCTCAGGGGACTTACAGCGGAAATTATTTGCTTTATTGGAAATATTAATTGTATACCTTGGTTTTATTTTTAATGAGATACTTTTCTTATCTATGTGTGTATTCTAAAGAACACAGAAAGAGCTGTATTGTGGCTAATTCTGTTGTTGCTCAAGCAAAATTTTGGAAAATTTGGAAAACTCACAGAATGGCAATTGAAAGGGGTAAAGATAGACAATTAGATTTTTTTAGTGCATTGGTTAAATCCAGGATTAGACTGCAATATACATTTTATCAACTCACATGGAATTTACTTTAATTAAAATTAAAATGATGTGTGTGAGTAAAGCTTTATGTACGTTACTGTAATTGTGAAGAGAATATGCTATTTTTCAATTGGTGATGTTTGGTGATCGAATAGTTTTGTGAAACTTTGTAAAAAATTTTACTTTGCCTTTAGAGAATTTAATGTAAATTAAAGAGGTTTTAAAGTCAAAGCAGTTTGTGCAGTTTGTATTCACCATTCTCCATCACTGCTTGCTCTGCTGTTTTTTTTTTTTTAATAGAATTTGGATCTCTTTGCAGTCATGTCTACTCTCAGAAAACATTTGTGTTTGTTTGTTTGTTAGTTTGTTTGTTTAATATACATCTAGGTGTCTAAAGTTCTAAAGGTAGACATCTTGGCTAAAGTCTGCATTTGGGCTGTCAATATAAAATCTAGTAGATATTAAGCAACAGCAAAATAAAGTCATCAGTTGGATTCTGTCTGAATCTGTTTTTTTTTTTTTTTTGATGATTATAGTCTAGTTTTTGACTATTGTTAGACATCTATTATTTTCACTCACAACTCAAATTTATTAGATTGCATAACAATTTAAGCTGTAATAGCTATATGGTCATGCACTGTAAAAATGCTGGGTTCCACACAATTCATTCTTGTTGTCCCAACCCAAATCCATTAAGTTAATGTAACTAATTTAATTAGATTGATTGCGTTTTCCAAAAAAAAAATCTCCACAATTGTATTTTTTCAGCTCATTTTAAATAAGTATTTTTAATGTGTAGCAAAAATGTTATTTTGAGTGTGTAACAACATGCCCTTCAGATGAAACAGCTAGGCATGTTGACAAATCGATATTGAATCCTTTTGAGCTAAAGAAATAAAAATATATACTCTTATTTAAAAACATTATAAAAACCTCATACTTGTATCAAAGAAATGCAAATATTAATGAATAATAATAATAATAATAATAATAATAATAATAATAATAATAATTGTAATATGTTGTAATAATAAACCTTGAATCCCTTGAAATTCACACAAACTGAGAAAGAGGTGTTTGTGCCAACTACTGCATAAATATAGTACCATAAAATTAAATCACCTATAAATGAAAGCAAAAAAATATTACATTTAAGTAAAATTTTGAACGAAGTTATATCAATTCCTTGTGTGTGTGAAGCACACTTGGCGATAAAACTGATTCTGACCCTGATTTTCGTCGCCCATCCTGTAGATGGCGGTATGCTCCCTGAGAACTCAGTGTTACGTTTAAACAATAATCGAAGAAAAAATTATAAACTTTTATTTGAAAATGGCGACCGACGTGAGCAGTGATGGTTCTGAGAATAAACGAAAACTGGAAGAAGATGAAGACGAAGACAATTGGGTTGGTCCTATGCCGAGTGAGGCCACACAAACCAAAAAGAAAAAAGGTAATGTACGTTGATTTGATTAACGTTACTGTTACTTGGCTGTTTATAAAAATACAGTGAGCTGTAGGCATGAAATTTAGGCTTTATTTGCCTGTAATTTGTCTTGACTGGCAGTTAATTAATTCTTGAAACAACTAAATACGTATAACAGTTTATCACTAGTTGGTTGGCTCTTACTGAGATTTGTTTTTAAATGGATCTCGTGTCTTCTTTTGCAGTTCTTGAGTTTGAGAGATTGTACCTGGATAATTTACCATCTGCCTCCATGTATGAAAGAAGTTACATGCACAGAGATGTTATAACACACATTGTTTGCTCCAAGTAAGTGTTCACCAATTTTTGCCATGACCTGGTTAGGTTTGAACGTTATTGGTTTAGTTTTTTGCATTCATTTAGGTTTCTCCTTGCATTTCCCACATTTTTACATAGACCCACCATCTTTTTAAAGTAACTTTAGTTTTTTTAATGTATTTTAAATTAATTTGTACTATTTCAATGTTATAAAAACATTACCTACAGTATTATGATACGTTTGAAAATATTAGTTTTCTACATTAGTTTTAAAGCATTTGAGATCTTAATGTGATTTTGTCTGTGTGTGTGTGTGTGTTTTTTTTATATATATATATATATATATATATATATATATATATATATGAAAATTGTTTGTTATTGTATTTACTGACCATTACTGATGCATTTCATTATAGTACAAACTTGGTCTCAAAAAAATCTATACTATAAATGATTTAAAAATGTACTGTATTAAATACACTGTACTATAAATTATTATTATTATTTATATATAGTGCTGGGAACAAATTAATCACATCCAAAATAAAAGTTTGTATTAAAAATTTAAATGGATGTGCTATGTATACTTATTATGTGTAAATATAGATACATGCATATTTTGAGAAAGTATTTAATTATTTTTATATAAAAATATGTGTATATACAGTTAAAGTCAGAATTATTAGCCCCGCTGTATTATTAGCTCCAACTTCTGATTAACTTAGAGAAGATTTTTTCGAACACATTTTTGAACATAATAGTTTATATAACTCATTTTTAATAACTGATTTATTTTATTTTGGCCATGATGACAATAAATAATATTTTACTAGATATTTTTCAAGACACTTCTATACAGCTTTAATAATTTCCCCCCATTCCAGAACTGATTTTATCCTCACAGCAAGTCAAGATGGACATGTCAAATTCTGGAAGAAGAAAGAGGATGAAGGAGTGGAGTTTGTCAAGCACTTCCGCAGCCACTTGGGTTTGTGTTTGTTGAACAGCACCCTAGAAATCACTTGGCAGTTCACAATGCAGAACAGCAGTCACGTTCAGTAAATATGGAAAAATAGTATGTGTAAATATTTTTTTTGTTTCTCTTTGTGGTGTAGGAGTGATTGAGTGCATTTCCGTGAGTGCGGAGGGAGCACTTTTATGCTCTGTTGGTGATGATCAAGCGATGAAAGTTTTTGATGTAGTCAACTTTGACATGATCAACATGCTCAAACTTGGGTAAGATCTTAAGATCATATCTGTCCCCAAATTTGTTGTCTGTATTTAATGAAACTCCCTGGGGTTTCTCCTTGATTATTACCTGTCAAAATGGAAAGATGATGAGTGTAAATATGTTTTAAATTAATACGTTTTTTGTAAGTTTGTATTTTTGCTATTTCTTTGTTCTAGACCACATTTAACTCCGAATTATTTACAAAACAATTACCATTTCTTTCGATACAAAATAATACAAATGTTAGAAAAAACATTTGGTTGTGTATTTCCTATTTTTATTTTAGCCATTAAATCCATGTATTACAGATTTATTACAGTCATTATTACACATTTAGGTTTTTAGTGGTCGAAAAGATGAATCACTGACTGCTGCAATGGCATTAAACTCCTGATGATTTATTATAATTTATATAAATTAATCTTTAATGACCCAAGGTGTGTATGTTTAGATTAGGAATCTTTACATAGATACTTTTATTGCATCTTGCATTTGTTTGTTTATTTATACATTATTATCACTTATATTTGGCTGATTTGAAAAAAAAAAACTGTATCAAGTATTACTTTTTATGATGAGTTGTTTTATACAATATCATGTTAACAATTTTCTGTGTTGATATGATTTTTTTTTTAAATGAGTAAAAAAGTAATGAACATGTCACCCTTTTTTCTTCGAAAACATTTCTGAATGTGCTGTTGACTTGAAATTTTCCCTGGATGTTGGTAACATCTAGGGATGCACGATATATCGGAGGCCATATCGTTATCGGCCAATAAATGCTATTTTTAAGATTATCGTTATCGATCCGATGTCTAAATTAAGCCGAAATGTTTAAGCCGATAAATTACGTAATTGTTGACGCGCACGCGTGGGCGGAACATGTTCAGACTTGTTCATGGATCTCTCCTCACACTGATTATTCCTTCAAAGTCAGTCCTTTTCTCACGTGGTATTGCTGTGCGTTAATAACTCAGTAAGTAACCATTATCCTTATCATTGTAGATATGTTTGATTGAGTGCCATTGTGTATTTTGCTTCAAATCGCCTCAGGAAAATATATTACATATGAAAGCCTTTCCTGCTCTGTCTATTTGTTGTGTTAGAGATAGCAGGGAGATTTACTTATTACTCCAGGGTCGAATAACATTAGTTTTGGAGTTAATTCTTTCAGTTGCAGCCGGTGAATTAAAGAGGACCCGAAAAAAGGAGAGGGTGCTCGCTGCAGAGCCATTTGAGGAGAGCTGAGCTCCAGCGAGGGGGAGCATGAGCTGTCGCTCCTCCTCCTGTAAGCTGTTTTAATGCGTACAACAACCCCACCCCTAACCCTACCCCCAGTGACTTCACTCGTAGAAGAAGTGCAAAAAAGGTGGAGCTCAAGCTTAAGCTCCCCCTTGCTGGAGCTCAGCTCTCCTCAAATGGCTCTGCAGCGAGCACCACTTGGAAAAAAGCGCTCCTCTTTTCTGTCTCTCCCTCTTCGCTTCACACACACATACACATCCCAAACTGACCTACACACGTGACGCGCTTAACAAAAACTTTACGGAAGGTTTTTAATCTAATATAATTATTTGTTATTATCAACGCGTTGCTTCTAGGGATGCTCATTTCGGTTAATTTTGCTAACCGACAACCGCGTTATTAACGGTTAACTGGTCAGATTACTATTCATTTTATATTAAACAAATTGACGTGTCTATTTTGTGTCCGACACATTAAATATTGCATTTTAAAATACTTATAATGTAAAAATAATTTATTTTTACATGCTAGCATATTAATAGAACAAGACAACAGAGCATTTTCACGCACCTGCAGTGTTTAGCACAGAAGAGCAGAATAAACTAAATAAAATGAATAAAATAAATAGGACTGCCCTAAATTATTTTCACTTAAATAATTAATTTATATTACAAAACGAAAATACTGACTGATTCTTTTTAACAACCGGCATAGGCTGTTTTTTTCCAATCATATTTTTTTTTCCGTCAAATAAAAGTCGCAGACTTCCTCAAATTGCCCGCTCCACGGAAAATATGCCTTTATTTAATGCCCCGCTGTTATTATTATAAATCACAAAACCTTTTACATTTTTAATAGAAATCATTATTTTAAAGAATGTGTCCTGACATGGTTTCTTCTCTCTCCCTCGCGGTTCAAGTGCGCGCGCTGCGTGATGAAAAGACAACAAAAAACGTGCGCATATGTTGACTTTTTGTAAAGAGTTTTGTTGTTTAAATATGATATTGCATTAATGTGCATACATGCTTTATAAGCTGTAAGATAAAAAGTAAAGCCTATTTGTTGCGTTTATTACGCAGATCCAGGTCAACATCAGCGCTGGTTAGCATCAACACGTCTGTATTAAACAGCAATATTCTTCTTCCATTTTGCTTCTTTGGCAAATGTGTCTGTAGGCACGGGCTATACGTTATCATCCCGCAAGTTAAATATTGAACAAGGGGCCGAAAACAAGGCGCACCTCACGGCCTTTATGTTGACAAGGAAAAAAGAAGAGAAGAAGCGGGGTCCTCTTATGAAACGACTGAATCAGCTGGGTATCGATTGTGCGAAAGTGTTGCTGTGTTATTAAAATTGTAATATTTAATAGTAAAAAGTCATCTAAGCTCAATGATCAGGTTTGTATCAAAATCCGAGGGCAAATCTGCACCCTCACAGCAGTTTATCATAAATAATATCGTGATATTCAAGATTTGTACATTCATACAGCTCTGGATAACTTAAAACAGCGATTAGACCTTCAGATTAGACCGTTATCACTTGTACTGTGGCTCTGAACTGTCAAAACACCTCTAAAAAAAGGCTTTTTCGGACATGACATATTTTTACACATGTACATTACTGTAACCCGTTTTATTCAAGAACATTTGAGCTGGCTTTAGTCCTTAGCTCTTTAATTTTCATCTTATTTAAAATATATTTAAATTGCTTGTTAATTAAATCCCATTTTGTTATTTAACCTTTTTAATTTTATGCAACAGTCAATTTGCATGTTAATTTGCTATGAAGAAAATGAAATAATGCATTTTTGCATGCTGATTTGTGTGAAATCGTGTATATAGATTATATATAATTGAATATATAATTTTGAAATCATAGCTTTTTTGCTTTGAGTATAGGCTATTCAGTTTAAAAGAGCAGAGTTTCTGCTTTTATTAAGTTTTCTGTATAAAAATAAAACATTTTGAAATATTTATAATTATCGGCCTATATATATATCGGCTATCGGCCTCCAAGTCTGAAGAATTATCGGTATCGGCCATAAAATCCATATAGGTGCATCCCTAGTAACAACCAAATATATCTATATGCAAAGAAAACAAATAGAATTAGTTTGCAAATTACGTGATGCATATTAAAATGAAATGGAGCAGGGAAAAAGTATTGAACACATGAAGAACGGGAGATGTAGAAAGGCAGTGAAAGCCCAGATAGCAGCTGAAATCTCTTAGCATTATTCCTTAACCCTCTGCCCCTTAATGTAAATTAAAATTAGCTGCTTCAGTCAAACATCTACATTATCAGGATGATGAAGATGAAATCAGGACAGACATTTCAGCAAGACAATGATACAAAACACAGCCAAGCAGACTCTCAGATGCTTTCAAAGAAAGAAAATGTAGCTGTAAAATGGGCCAGCCGAACACCTGACTTGAATCCAATATAAAATACAAAATAAAGCTTCGATTTGATAGACGAGACCCACAGAACCATCAAGATTTTTACACTCTGTTGAAGTCTATGATAAACTCACACCTGGAATTCATGTGACTTCATTCTCCATATGAGAGGCATCTTTAAGCTGCCATCACCAAAAAAGCCTTAATATAAAAGTATTTAATACGTTTTAGTAGTTCAATACTTTCTCCCTGTGTCATTTCATTGTTATTGCACAAGAACTAATTTTTCAGATTTAAAAAAAATATATATATATTTTAATTGTTTTATTGTTATGTTTGTATTGTTTGGGTTTTTACCAAAATCTGGTTTAATTCCATGTTCACAGGTCCTTTAGAAATATCATACCCTGAAAAAAACATGACGTGTTCAATACTTTTTTCTTTCTACTTTTTGTTGTTGTTGTTCTCCAGCTTCCATCCAGGCCAGTGTGAGTGGATTTATAATCCAGGAGACGCCATTTCAACAATCGCCTGCTCTGAGAAATCCACTGGAAAGATTTTTGTGTATGATGGACGTGGCAGTAATCAGCCCCTGCACGTATTCGAAAAGATGCACACCACACCACTCTCTCAGATCCGCCTCAATCCCAAATATCGTGTCATCGTATCTGCCGATAAAGCGGGAATGCTAGAATACTGGACGGGGCTCCCGAGCGAATTCAAATTTCCGCGGCAGGTGGACTGGGAGTTTAAGACCGACACAGACTTGTATGAGTTTGCCAAATGTGGAACGTATCCCACCAGCCTGGCTTTCTCTCAAGATGGCAAGAAAATGGCCACCATTGCCGTTGACCGCAAAGTGAGGATTTTCCGCTTTCTCACTGGGAAGTTGATGCGGGTGTTTGACGAATCACTAACAGTAAGTTTGTGTTTTATGATTATTTATAATTTTCAAAGGTTAACATGTGCACAGTGTATGAGCTTGTGGTATAATCTGTGGTCTGTGTGTAATTGCAGATGTTTACAGAGCTCCAGCAGATGAGACAGCAGTTGCCTGATATGGAGTTTGGTCGCAGAATGGCAGTGGAGAGAGAGCTGGAGAAGGTGGACGGCATACGATTGACCAACATCATCTTTGATGAGACTGGACACTTTGTGCTTTACGGCACCATGCTAGGCATTAAAGTCATCAACGTAGAGACTAACAGGTAGAGAATACACAACATATACACACATTTTTTATTTCTAAAGCAAAATTCATTTAGGGGTGTGGGGGAAGGTACATTAAGTCATTTCTGCCAAAGTGGAACTGTCGGCAGCTAGCTCTCTGTAACTCTAACATGGTTGCCCACTGAAGCTAAGCAGGGCTGCGCCCAGTCAGTACCTAGATGGAAGACCACATGGGAAAGCTAGATTGCTGCCGGAAGTGGTGTTTGTGAGATCAGCAGGGGGTGTTTAACTTGCCGTCTGTGTGGGCCCTAATGCCCCAGTATAGTGGAGAGGACTCTATACTGTTCAGTGAGCTCCATCTTTTGGATGAGACGTTAAACTAAGGACTCTCTGTGGTTGTTAACCAGTTAGGCTCTGGGGCTATTTGGGGTAATTCCTCCTGAATTTGGCCTTCCGATTTAAAAAGCTTCCCATACCCACATGCAGTGGTGTTAATACAAAAGTTTGGTATATTTGGAAGGAAACCCTTTTTCATAAAATACAGTTGAAATTGAAAACAATTGTTGTATATATAAGTTTGGAAATGTGCACCTCAGTATTGGAGAATTGCAGCACCCTGGAAACAATTTTATTTCTTTCCAGCAGGTATCAGCAAACACAGGAAAAAGGATTTTTTTCATTATAACAATTTATGTGAGAATAATTCCATTCCAACTGCAAGGAGGAAAAATGCCATTTTTTATTTTATTTCTGCCTACCTATTTTTGAAGTCTTCCCATACCCTCATACACTATAATAAATGCAAAATCTCAATGTAATTTTACAGAAAACCCTTTGAAATTACAAAAAGAACTGCTGAAAGTGATAAATATTATTATATATGTTGCCTGTCCTATGATGAACCACCTCAACAATAACCACTTTTAGTTTTTTTTTGTTCTAAAGCCTGATTTAGAAAGTGTATAACTCAGGCCCTGTATGCTCCATCAAACTGCAGACTGTTTTGATTGTTACCAGCATGTATCAGTAGACACTAGAAAAAATAATTTTGTTTTTATCATGTAGTATGCAATAATTATGTTAGTTCAACCAAAGGGTGGAAAATCACAACTTTTTTGCTCCTTCTGTTTGTCATGCAATATCTTAGTCACTGATTGGCTGATCGGCTCGCGATACATCAGCGTAAAGCTGAGAATCTCACCTTTCCAGTGATATGTAATTCATCTGGATAGGTCGAAGCTATCATATTTTCCCTATTTTTGGAATATCATGACCCTAATTTGTTGCGTTTTGCACTTACAAGACACAGCAGGGATTTACTGATGCACACTTCCTCAGAAAACGCTGAAAATTGACTTATTTTGCTGAGGAAAACCTAAGGTAAAAGATGATGTAGCTTGTTTGGCTATCTGTGCTAGCTCCGGCAGCTCACGGAGCAAATGATCAATAATTTCCCTTGTATGTTTACAAAAAACGAGTTTATACTTTATGATTCATTCAAAGACTGTTAGATATGTGATTGTAAATCAATAAAAATAACAATGGATCCTTATTATCGGGAATGAGAGCTTTAATTTGACGTATTACTTGCCATTGTGTGTCTAATATTAGCGATGTAAAAAATATGCATACTAAACAAAGTACATAATCGGGAGGGTTGAGATATTATACATCGAGTGTAAATTAAGTGTAAATAACTTTGTTACCGTGCAACAATTATTAAAGTTATGTGCATCAGTTGAAAATAATTCTAAGCTTTCACCCAGTAGGTCATATGGTGTTATTGATGCAGACAGAGCTCTTAAACCTATAGTTATTCTCCCGATGACGTCATTTTGCTCCGGTACCGGGCACGCAGAGTTTAAATATGCCAGGATTTTCTTTGAAAAACAGTAGAAGTTATCTGGGCATTCCTGGCCAAATTTGCCCCCTGGCCCCTGTCCATCATGGCCTCCTAACCATCCCCATATCATAATTGACTTCATCTCATTGTGTCATCTTCACCAATCAGCTAGTCTGTGGTGTGTGGTCTGCGGTCTGGCGCAATATGGCTGCTGTCGCTTCATCCGGGTGGGTTCTACACACTGGTGGTGTATGAGGAGTTTCCCCCCAATGTGTAAAGTGTTTTGAGTATCTATATAAGTGTTCTTTATAAAATATTTTACCAGCTGATGATTAATATATACAGTAAAGTGAAGATCTAGATTACTCTCAACCTTCATGATCACTTCAACGAAATTAGTTTCTTAAATTATCAGATAATTTGACCAGATGATATAGTTAAATACAGTTTAGGTTGTCATGTGGTGTGACTAAACCTAACAAAAAACTAAATGAATATATTGTTTAACATGTGGAAAAAACAGCTTTTAAAAAAACATATTTCAGTGCATCGATGAATTTGGTCTTTCATGTTTGAACTTTCAGCAGTGAAGGTTAGACTGAACTGAAACTCTGAAAATTGGACTGACAGCTTTAATTTACTAGAACTTCTATGTTAAGCTGCTTTGACACAATCTACTTTGTAAAAACACTATATAAATGAAGGTAACTAGAATTGAATTGAATAATAGTAATATTTTAATAGTAAGTTATTTAACCTTTTATCTAGGAAGTAAGGAAAATTTTCTTAATTTTTACTTGGTTATACCATAGGGTTATAGTTAGCTAAAATTCAACCCAAAAAAATAACATGCTTATGTCATAGAAGGAATTAATGTTAACTGAAAACAAACATTTCAGTCACATTCAGTGAAGACAGCATTTTTAAATTTAGTTTAACTTGATAAATTAATTCCAGATTTAATATAAGCTTTTGGTGTCTCCAGAATGTATCTGTAAAGTTTGAGCTCAAAAAACCCATCAGAATATTTATTATACCTTTCAGAAGAATGTCAGTTTTAGCTCTGAGCATCTTGTAGCTGTTTTTGTAGACTATGCCTTTAATGCTAGTCATCCCCGCCCACCGTTACCACGTGCCTGTCAGTGTGCCTCAATCTCCGGCCTCGGCATCAGACAACAGACAGACATGAAGGAAGCAGATCTCACGTAATGTTTTTGAGAAATATTACAGTAAGAACTTTCAGGGTTTTGGATGCTATTTTAATGTCAGGAAATTGAAAAAGATTTATTGTCTTTATATCACCCCAATACGAGTGTGAACACATAGTACCTACACACAGTTTTTGTCCAAACAGCGTAAAAAAGGTGTTTTTTATCATAGGTGCCCTTTAACTAAAATTATAATAAATTGATACAAAACTTACACAGGGTTACACTTTCTACAAACACACATGCAGAAAGGATGTACATTGTGTTTCAAATTATGCTGAAATATTTATTAATGGTAGTAAAGACTTTTTTTTTTCAAAAAGCACAAAAAATGTAAAAAAAAAAAAAAAAAAAAAAAAGTATAGTATATTTACATTTTGTGAAAGTAGGATTGTAAAAAATACATTAACTGTTTCTTGCCACATTAAAAAATATTTTATTTACAATATATAGCTTTATTCGGACAGGTCACTTTATAGAGGCATAATGTATTAGATTCAAAGTGACTCTAAGTCCACATTTACACTAGTATGTTTTAGTTTTTAAACAGCGATTTAAAATGAAAACGATCTGCGTCCACACTAGCGTTTCACGTAGCGTTTCTGTCTACACCACACCACTGAAAACCACACACACACACACACTGGCATGCACTGCAGCGAATGTGGACGTCTGAGCTCCAGGCAGTCATCTACCCAGATAAGAGCTGTGCTCATCAGACTGTTTATCAAGAATCTACAGCTGGATCTAATCTCACTATATTTGTTAAACATGAGATTTAATTCATCTTGTTGTCTATATCTAACAACATATTCTCTGACTTTTCTCTTTTGAATCTATTACTTGTTCTCAGGTAACGTGTTTTGGCTGATCGTAAAGATAAGTTAATAATTAATGTAACCATGTACATTCGGTATATTGACTAATTGCTTGCCTTTATTTCCTATAATGTATAAACTTATTGTACATTATAATTTTTAATGGTCATTATTGATTATTAAAACTGATATTCAACAAAAAAGTTTTGTATATTCAATGAGAATGAAAGGAGCCAGTGATGTTATAGGCTCTGTTTTGTCATAAATAAGCATTCAGTGAAGTTGACGCTCATAAATATGCAGCTACACGACGCCTCAACATTTCTGCTGTGTGTGAAGTTGCTAATATCAAAAGAAAAATAGCAGTTCCTTAAATCATGTTTTCATTTTATTGTTAATAAAGTGAAACAACATAGCCAGGGTGATGTGAATGAGGTTATAAAGTACACTGTTCCCTTTGAAGATCCTCAAGAGTTGGTTTTCCATATCAAACTTGCGAAGTCTGAACTTACAAGGAAAGGATGCAGGACTGAACTGTGTGTAGGTTACTTAATATTAAGGAAAAACCCATTTCAGTTAGGGGAATGCCTGCAGCCCTACTTCCGATTTCAGATGTCTCTGTTTTTCCCCATTCACACTGAGACGGAGCAGCAATGTTTTTAAATGAAAACGGCCTCTCCAGCATTTTCGAAACGCTCAGTTTTAGGCGCCCGAAATCTTTGGCGTAGTGTGGATGGAGCGCCTAACCGTAGCAAAACTTATGCGTTTTCAAACTAAAACATATTAGTGTAAATGGGGCCTAAGCCACAGGTGTCAAACACAGTTTCTAGAAGGCCGCAGCTCTGCACAGTTTAGTTCCAACCCTAATTAAACACACCTGATCAATGTAATTGAGTGCTTTAGACTGGTTTTACACCAACAGATTGGTGTGTTGAAGCAGCGCTGGAACTAGACTCTGCAGAGCTGCTGTCCTCCAGGAATAGAGTTTGACACCCCTGCTCTAAGCCACAACTATGGCCTACATTAAATGGCCTACATCAGCCATTCTGAAACCATCTCTCTTTTGTCTGTGTGTCTGTTGTAAATTTTTCTGGCTGTCTAGGTGTGTGCGCATACTGGGCAAGCAGGAGAACATCCGTGTGGTGCAGTTGAGTCTGTTTCAGGGAGTCGCAAAGGCCATGCAAGCGGCACCAACAATTGAGATGAAAGCCTCTGAAAACCCAGCACTCCAGAGCTCTGACCCAGACCCCACCATCTTCTGCACTGCCTTTAAGAAGAACCGCTTTTACATGGTGCAAAATCCACCCCTGAGCACATCTCCTCTTTTTCTTTCTGATAGAGAATCTAATACTGTGTTGTGTTTTTGAGCAGTTTACAAAAAGAGAGCCCGAGGACACAAAGAGTGCTGATTCTGACCGTGATATTTTCAACGAGAAGCCGTCTAAAGAGGAAGTGATGGCAGCCACACAGGCGGAAGGACCAAAAAGAGTGTCAGACAGTGCCATCATTCACACCACTATGGGTGACATTCACATCAAACTCTTTCCTGTCGAGTATGTATATATATATATGAGTATGTTTGAGGGTTTTGAGTATATATGAGGGTTTTTTTGTTTTTGTTTTTTAAGATGTTAAGTGATTGTAAGTAAGGACCAATCCCAACTATATTTTTGCACCCCTACCTATTCCCCTTGGCCCTTAAAACCGAGGGTTAAGGGGAAGGGCTTCAAATATTACCCCTAAGAATTGGAACAGCACCTGCACATGTCATCATATGTCATCGCAGTCTCTTGCTTAATATGAGATCAGACGATCGCGACTGCTGTAGTTATTCCAGTTTTGCTATGTTTTGGTATTTATCTTCAGGAAATCACTGAATCTCATATGAAATCTTATATTATGTATTATGTATATTATTTTTTCTTTCTTTCACATCAGATGCCCCAAAACTGTGGAGAACTTCTGTGTTCACAGCAGGAACGGTTATTACAACGGCCACATTTTTCACCGAGTCATCAAGGTAGGAGGTAGTGATCAACACTAGGGCTAAGCGAATGGATCATGATGAATCTATGGTTTCTCATAAAGATTCTGAATTGATTCTCAAAAGTTCATAATCGATTATGTATGCAAATATGACTTTAAGGGTGCAAGCTAGAAACAGAAAAAAATAGATGGATGTATGTATGCTGCTGAATTCACTTAATGTGAACAAAGATGGACAAATTTATCAATTTTAAAGCTGGCGCGACATTAGGATCTCTACAGAATGCAGACCGGGTGGCATTAATATGATGATAGACAAGTGTATATATATAATATCGGTATGTTGTTAAAAGCATATCAGTAAGTGATAAAATTTGCGTTTATAAGACGTAATCATTGTTTAATAGTCATAATTAAGTTTCTTATTAAATCTTTATCAGTCAAATGCTCTCTAGTATCTGACATGCCCTGCCCCCTTCAAGATGCTTTAAATTTGCTTTTTATTTGATGCACTTGAGTTAAACCACTCTCACTGGCAGAGCTGTTTTTTAGAGGGGAGTGGCTACTCTCATCTTTTTGTGTTTGTTGAGATTACGTCAAACATCGAATAAAACAATGCAAATTTCAAAGCATATGAGAATGAGAACAGTTGGTTCTTTATAATTTTATGTAACCTGTTTTTTTATGTTACATTCTGAGCTTGTTCAAACTGATTTTAACTGTTAATATATTTTTTTAAGATGGCAGTACAATCACACATGTATTCCAATCATATAAAAAAAAATAGAAACTTCATTTTTTTGGCAACCTTTTTGGGTAAAATTTGGGATGCACTGATCCCGATACTTGGATCAGATATCTGTTCGATACTGCATATTTTTGCTGGATCGGGTATCAGCAAGCTGGTACCGATCCTAATCCGATCTTGCGCTTGTGCTATAGTCTATTTAATTTATAAGCAAACAAAAGCCATGAAGGTAGCCTATTATAAGGCACAAGAAAGTTGTCATGTAGGCCTACATCCGAAATGTTTTAAAGCCATTTTATAGTTCAATGTGAAGTACAGATGAATATTCAAGTGGTTAAATTCATTTTCAGTTCAGCGCTTCCCGCCGCTGCACCTGTCAATCATTCTTCATTTATTCACAATTCAAACTGCATGTCATATTTATGACAACTCGAAAAATTTTCTCCAAGACTATTTGTTCCTCTTAAAGGGGTGGTCCACTACGATCTCATATTTTAAACTTTAGTTGATGTGTAATGTAGCTGTGTGAACATAAACAACATCTCTGAATGTAAAAAGTTCTAAATTCAATGCTAAGAGAGACCTTGATTTTTACAGAGTTAGCTTAGCAAAGCCTACAATGAACGAATTTTGGGGACTACAAAAAATACTTCCGCCCCCTGTGACATCACAAGTTCATTTACTGCGCATCCCACACTGCGCATGCAGGTAAGGGCCGTAGCCAGAAGTGCTGTAACGTTATAGCAGAGATGAAGCTAAAAATGCGTCTAAATGCGTATTTGGGCTTCCAAAGGACACAACACAAAGACAAAATTTAAAAATTATAAACTAATCAGCAAGCATGATTTGACAAAACAGCTCCAGAATCTCTCCCAGTTCAGTGCTGGATTTGGCTAAATTCTCCTCAAAGCAGAAGTTGTGATCTACAAGTAAATGTTTTTATTTGTTAAAATTGATCATGACATGTACAGTGTCTAGCGTTAACGGTATGCTGTAGCAATGATGTAAACAATGCAAAATGCTGCTTTGCGGGCAAACGATTTAGCTACAAACTCACATTATTCCAAACTCCTGTAAACACACACACTCACTCCACCAGCACAGTCTCTTATGTGTGTGCGCGACTGCACTGATTGTCTTCAGGCAGCTTTTTCATGTGTTTCACACATTATTTCTCAGATAATGAAGTCACAAAAGATATGTGGATGATTCATATTACTTACACCTGCATATTCCGGATACTCGTGAAAGACGTCATAACGTATAGAGTTAAAAAAAATACAGATTAGCCTACCTGACTCGTGGTTGCAGCAGAATAATAAATCAAGGCTCAACAGGTAGCATCTCACATCTTGTGCTTTATTCTTCTGTCACGATATATTAGAGAAAATAACTTAATCCAAGCATCAGAGAAAAAAGAAAGTCCCGCGCACATGCGCTTGTTACAGAAAGTTCACACCACACACACACATAGACGCACACACAGATGCTGTTAAAGGAGCCGGACCCCATTTTCACTCGTTAGTAACAGACACTTGTCAGATGTTATTTTAGAGAGCGGGCGCGAGGTTGACTGCATGTTTACACAGCAGAAAAGCATGTGCATTTACGGGCGTGACGTGGAGCCGATCCGCCAATAGCAGCACATTATGACGATGACCAATCAGTGTCAAGGTGGGCCTTTTAGAGGAACTAGGAAATATGACAGTCGTTTTCATGTTAGCTGAGTAGCTGTGTATAATCAAAGTGAGATATATGAAAAAATTACGCGATTTCCTTCAAGTGAAACATAAGCACACATTGCTTTGCATCTTATAAACACAACCAAGCCTTAAAATTACATTCTAGACCACCCCTTTAAGATAAGTAATCAGTGAAGAAATGCATTTAGTTTTTCATTAAATGGCTTCATTTTGACCTGCTACATGGAGATCATTGCTGTTTTGAAATCATGTTGCGCTGTGTATGTTAGACCAGCAGATTGCATTCACAACACTGGAGTAGAGAGAGTTATTATTTGCTCTTCACACACAAAGTTTAAATGAGAAAAGGCTTAGTAATACACTGGACAGATCTTCAACGCACTGATTTCTCCCCCTTGTGCTGCTGTTTTGGAAGTGTCCGTATATCGAAGGGTTGCTCGCTGTCAGTTATGTGCTTCATTCAGGCACTGGCTGCGTAGACGTGACATGCTCTGCTCCGTAAGATTATTCTTACAATAAGTTTATGTTCTCTAATTCTTCCGACTGAGTTTATTTTTCCGAGGGAAATACTTTAAGTCAGGGGTTTTCAAACTGGGGGCCGAAAAAAATTTTTAGATGAGGGGTAATTAATGGGCAAACATGGATGAACTTTGTGTCCCGTATCATTTTGAAGGTTAACATATTTTTTATTATAATTTGAGCTCAAAAGTACTGCAAAAATTAAGCTTTATGCTTATGTCATTTAAATGCAGTTGACACTTTCGTGACACAGGAAAAGAAGCGCAGCGGCCCGCCTCTGTGCACGGGGACTTTTATTGAATAAGCGCTTCTGGCCGGGCACTTCCTGTGATTTATGGCGCTTGTCTGCTGCACCTGACGGCGTTTACCTATCACTTACGCTTACCTCTTTTATGCTAAACAACTAAATGAATGCTCAGGTCTATTTAACTGACTATATTTCAGTTAAAATACATGATCAATAAGAACATTATCGGTGGCTGAAATCACTTCCCTGTATATGGCTTGCGTTCCTAAGTAACCGATCAGCTGGGTGCTGCGGAGTGCGCGCCTCTCTGCGCAGGCTTCACTCATAAGGAACAAATAGCATTTTAAAGACACGGCACAAAATTGCACCTCGTCCACAGTGTGACAGGCTTTACACTTTGCATTGTACAAATATCAGACGGTCCTCTTTGCAGCATGGCAAACAAACATATTAAAATTGTAAAGCAAAAAGTGCTGCCATATCAATGAATGGAGCTGTCATCACATCAGCGAGTTCTCAGAGTTTCACTCCTGTTACACTAATGACAGCTAGATGAGCTCTGCAGTGGACCTCTTACTCACATTGGTTCATAACTGGATGATAAAAAAAAAACTAAATTGTATACACCCTAAGTAAAACCACTATAGCCTATAAAAATTATAATGTATCTGTTTGTGTTATGTTATAAGGCTAATTAATTATTAAATATTAAAATGTATTAGTGCTCTGTATTTAATGGAGCTCAACATATCTGATCAAATTTTAATACTCTGAATATAAATGCATTTTTTTCAAGATGTTCCACTTTTTCCCATATTTATTTGTGTAACTAATTTAAATGTAATGTTCAGTATTATTATTAATAGAACAAACTGGTATGAACAGTTTAAAGTCAGCAAAGCTTCTAAAATTATGCAAAGTAAAACTTGTGGCTCTTTGAACTTGAATACCCAATTCTAGATTGCATTTAGGAAATTATTTTTATCAGTGTAAGTAAGGATTGTCGACCTGAGTAAATTATGATGTGCACAAAAAAAAGGAATAAAAATAAACAAAACACACTGAACCACTACAGCCTCCATTGTAGTATTGCTAGTTACAACAGTACAGTTAACTGTTAACAGGCTGATGAATGACAAAACTCTTTAAAGCTTTAAATCTTTAGATACATTTAGACTCTCAGCTGTAAGGGTAAACACAGAAGAGTCTAGCTGTGCATGGGCAGAAAAAAAGCATAAAAATGGCATAAAAAAACTGTAAAGTGGCTACTCGTACACAAAATATGGCTTGATGGAATCAAGTGAGAGCAGACCACAATGAACACTGCGCATGAAGATTTGATCAATAGATTGAAGCACTAAAACCATGTCAACTCAACTGACATCTTACAAAAATTAATCCAGATAATGAATAATATAAATTTATTGAATAATATATAATAATATAACTGTATTGAATAATACAATTTAAAAAAAATTTAAGTACAGTTATTAATTTGAGGGGGTGGCGTCATTTTTATTTTTTGGAGGTTCACAAAAGAATTCGCCCTACACAAAGGGGCCCTCAGCTGAAAAATTTTGAAAACCCCTGCTTTAAGTGGTGCCAATAGATTGTAAAGCCTGGCCCATTGTGGTCAAAGTAGTTGATTAAATCAATAGGCTAAAAGTGAAACTGAGAGCCCGGCGCATAAGAACAGTCTTTAACAGGAAATTACTTAGCCTTATATAGACTACTCTAAAACTGTGAATATTTAATCGTAATTTTATATATATATATATATATATATATATATATATATATATATATATATATATATATATATATATATATATATATATATATATATATATATATAATGATATTTTATTTAACAGACCTATTTGTCAGTTTGTACACTGAAGCATAGGCCTAAAAGCGGACCTTGTTTTAAACTTTACCTCAAATATTTTTGTTTATTTTGTAGATAACTGACCAACATAAATACATTAAAAAAAAAAAAAAATGAAATTAGTTTCAAAAAATATATTTTTCATACATGCTTTCAGTTTCTTCGTCTCACTTACGGCGAGTACATGCGAAGGAATGTCTATTAAGTAAATAAACATGGCCTTAAAGTTTAGTTTAGTCTGCTTTAAACCTGCAGGAAACTATCAGGCTGCAAAAAATTCTAGTTATTTTACCAATGATTAGGGTAGCTTATTGCAAATTTTTCAAAGAAAAATCTTAATAATAAAAAAGAAACATAAGCTGGACCACAACAAATCACATCAACGTCATAATAAATGCTCAAATAATGTAGCCCATAGTTTATAGTAAGCATCATTTTTAGTTAGATTGTGCCATCTGTCATATACCATAGGCCTATAGGTTTGTTATATTTTACTAAAGAAGATATTATTTATGTTTATCACCAGAACTATAGAAACTTTATTATGTTAACAAAAAACTTTAAAAAACTGCACAGGATCGCATCTGAATCGGTCGATACGCAGAATTTTGGTATCGGTTCCAAAAAATGGCATGCCTAGGTAAAATTTATAGCTTAAAATAGGGCTGGGCGATTTGGCCTAAAATCTTAATCTTGATTAATTAAACATCTTAGCTCGATCATGATTAATAAACGATTATATATATAGATATATAATAGACTTCAACTGTACATACATATTTGAATGAAGGGTGCATTACTTGATTTTGAAATTATTGAAGAAAACACACATATCTACTGTGATTTATTGAACATCAACACACTGCCTAAAACCAACAGTCACTTTTTCTTGTATGAAAATAAAAAAAAAATAATAAATTGGAACTTTTGGCAACAATAAAATTATTTTCTGTGCTTTTCATATTAAAAGTAGAAAACAAGCAGTATCTTTTCTAAATTAAATAACTCTTGTATACCCTGTAAATAACTTCAAACGGTGCATTTCTTGCATCGTCTGTGACCAAAACTTTTAATGTAAATAATAATTTAAATGTAATTGAAAATATGTCGTCTCAAGGCATCTCTGGCACAGCTTACAATCATCGTTTAATTTTACTTCAGCGTGCTGTTTGTGTTTTTCTGTAATAACACTTCTGAAACGCTAGCCTGGTAGCAAGTTTTATGTTTCTCTGAGCTCTGTCGAGTTTCTTCATGAGAGTTTTTTTTTTTCAATGCTACATTAATGTACAAGAAGCTAAAACTTGCTCATTCAGAGGTGGAACAGACAGATGTGCAACATGACTCCTTACTCAGTGTGGAAAATATTTTTAAAAATTGACCTGGGAAAATTAGATTGATTATAGGTTCTGATTGTCAAATCGATTATTTTTCGATTAATCGCCCAGCCTTAGCTTGAAAAAGCTTATTTTTAAAGCTAAGGAATGGGAAATAATGTAGGTCAAAAATCGTTTGCATTGGATTCTGAAGTCCCTAAACATTTCCACCACTTATCAATAATGATATTTGTGTGAATGAGTTGTTTTTTTTAATTATGTTTCTGCATGCAGGGTTTCATGATCCAGACTGGAGACCCCACAGGGACTGGCATGGGTGGGGAAAGCATCTGGGGTGGAGAGTTTGAGGATGAGTTTCATTCCACTCTGAGACATGACAGACCCTACACCCTCAGCATGGCCAATGCAGGACCAGGAACCAACGGCTCACAGTTCTTCATCACTGTCGTCCCAACCGTAAGACCATAATAGTCAGTTCCATACACTAGCCTTCTCATAGAATGTAAGAATTAGTTAAGATGTAAGCCACTGTTCTGAAGATTAAAGTCAGTTCGGAGCCTGATATAACTTCCAAGACTGCATTTTTTATTTAGTTTTTTTGGAAAATACAGTAAAACCAAAGAATTAAATATTGTTACAGTTGAGAACTCCTTTCCAATTTAATGTTTAAGATTGCTTTTCCGTTAATGCAAAACTAAATTGTCAGCATCAGTACTTCAGGTTCACTTGATTCTTCTTAAATTATTCAAAAACTGATTTCTTGCTCAAATGTTTTGTATTATTTTCAGTTGTTTGGAATATAATAATTTATGGAAATCATGATCGTTTTATTTATGAAAATGTTTAAAAATAACAGCTTTTGTTTTACATGAATCTTTTGTAACATCTTTACATGTTTTTCCCGTTTAATGTGTGTTTTTATTGCATTTTAAATTTAAAATCGTTTTTTAAAATACTGACTCCAAATTTTTGAATAGTATTTTAGAATATATTTATCCCCATTCTTTAAAGTTTTTCACCATTTATATTTAAATATCAAAGAATTGTTGTCAGTGAAACCAGCAGATGGCGCTCAACCTGAAGTCTCTGTGTGTGTCCTAATGCTCCAGTATATAAATGAGGCCTCCATACTGCTCATTGAGCACTATCTTTCAGATGAGACATTAAACCGAGGTCCTGATTTTTTGTTATTGTTAAAAATCCTGGCCGAATTTTCCCACTGGCCCCTGTCCATCATGGTCTCCTTATCATCCCGATATCATAATTGGCTTCATCTCAGGGGTCACCAACATGGTGCCCGCGAGGATCACATGTGTTGCCTGCTGGCCTGTTCTTAAAATTGCTCACCATAGCACCACTTACCAGTAAGCTTCATCTAATATAGAAGTAATCATTCAAAAATGTGAATATTTGCAGAGATATATAAAAATAAAGTTGATATATATAAAGATAAAGTTGCACACTGATACATTAAATTTGAATGCCCAGAAAAGTGCTATATAAATGTAAAGAATTATTATTATTAATTATAAAATAGTTCAACACATACACAATCAATAACTCTGTTACACTTATTCTTTACTCTTATTGGTGGAATGTTTTTGGCCATCAATATGGTTAATATGGTTGTTTTTTTTTTTTACAACTAATTACCTTATTAATCATTGAATAATTAATGATTGTTTTAAAAAAAGTTGAATTAATGCAAACAGAAGATTAATCGCCAATTAAAACAGCACTCACAGTAGGGAGAATGACATTTGAATAAATAATAATTTTTTTCTCTCTCTTTCCTCTCCAATTAGCCCTGGCTGGACAATAAGCACACAGTGTTTGGAAGGACCTCTAAAGGGATGGAGGTGGTCCAGAGGATCTCCAACATAAAAGTCAACCCCAAAACCGACAAACCATATGAAGACATCAGCATCATTAATATCACTGTCAAATAGACGTGCAGCCCGATTTTTGTAAAAATAAAGCACCTTTTATAAAAAAAAAACAAAAAAAACAGTGTTTTCAGCTTTGTTTTTAATAGCATAATATTATGAATGGTTATACAAAAAGCTATCAACAAATGGGTGTGCACTGTGCTTCTCGAGAGGCTTCCAGATCTCACATTTACAACAACATCTTTTACAACTTCAGAGGGTCCTGCGCCAGGGCTAGGGGGAATCTTTACACATGCTTTTCACCTAAATATAGTTAACATTACATAGCAATGAGGAGCAACGTTTCAAACCAAAGGATGGTTCCTAAAACTAAACTGTCATTTACATACAGCCACATTTGCATTAAATTGATAAACGAGTTAATATAATGTAACAACATCTGCCTTTTTTTTTTTTAAATATACTAAGATGAGAGGCTTTTTGCAACAAATGAATATCTAGCCGAATATTAAGCTGATGAAATTAAACTACATTTGTTTTATCCATGATGACTACAATCCTCCTTTTAAAATATAAATAAGCAGTAACATTTCTTGCCACAAACACATCCATATTTTTCCACACACGGTGAAAACACCTACACCCATGCACCAGTCTTAAGACCACAAATAAATATTTACAGGCTCATTTAAAGCCTCAAGAAATTCACAAAAGCTATAAAAAAAAAAAAAACAGCTGATGACATTGATAATAATGGGTGAATCTTACAACAAATGTGTAGGTCCCCAAATTCAAAATAAAAACTTATTTTGGATAATGGAAATTAAATGACGCTTGCTTTTTTTTTTTGTCACTCACATTTTCATAACCAATAAGTATGTATATAATTATTAGTGATAATTTTTATTACTCCACTGTTTAATAAAATGCCTAAACATTTTAAATTAATAAGAATACGATTTTCAAATTAAAGTGTTTATTAAGCTCTGTATGAATTTAGTTGAACCACTGAAGTCACATGCAACATTTTGATTAGTAATTATGGCTCCTTTTTAAACATATCAGGATTGCTACAGTCTATGGAGGACGAGAGAACTCCTGGATTTCTTTTTTGGGTGAACTAATTCTAAGAGAATATAAAATATGTTAGTAAACTGCTAGGTAATAATGTTTACAATAAAAAAAAATAACGTTTTTAAAAAAAATTATAGGGAACATATACATGTTTTATGAGAAGTCACCCCATGTAACTTTTAAACAAAGGCAATAGATTTGATCACATGAACTTTCCTAGTATTTGAGTAGCTAATCAGACACGTCAACAGGCACTTCACATTGCTGAAACCATTAATCTGGAGGCTATCTGATGCTTAGTTTCATCTGTACCTAAGGGGATTTACCTACGATTAAAACCTTTGATAGATCTACTTAGACCTTGTGCCATTTCCACGCAATACTGTAGGGATTTTATGAGGGCGTCTGTACAAAAATGAACAATATTTGCTTAAGCACATCTACTATATATGCTTAAAATATCTCATTAGTAACTATTAAATGACCAAAATGAGTGAACTTACAATAAAAAGAAGAGCATGGTTAAATAGATAGTCCACACAAAAACGAAAACATCATTTCCTCATCCTCCACTTCTTTCAAACCTGTTTAAGTTCTGTCTTTTGTTGAACATAAACAATGATATGCTGAAGGATGTTGGAAAACACAGCTTTTGGCTTCCACAGTATTTGTTTTTCCTACTATGGATGTCAATGGCAACTTCGAAATGATTTATTTTCTGTTCTAAGGAAAAAAGAATGATAAATGATAATATTTGGGTAAACTATTCCTTTAACCAGACGTTGACAGTAAGTTTGATTAGTTTACTTGTTTTAAAAAGAATCATGCAGCTTAAACTTAAAGGACAGCATCTGCAAATAGAGTTTTTGACTCTCCTTTGTAAAAAACAAACATTTCGACAAAGTGGAGAGTCAAAATATCATACTTTGTAACCAGCAGCATGTTGCCTTGTTCACTCCAAAATGAAAATTCTGCTGTTATATTTGTTCACCATTATATTGTTTCCACCAGATAACACTTTAATTAGACTTCAGAACACAAATCAATATATTTTTTAATCAAATTTGAACCATTTCTGTCTCTTCATTGAAATTCTTTTTACCCAAAACGCGAGGAGAGAAAGAAATCTGATAATTTCAATTAAAACCATCTTCATAAAATGTCTTTGAAACAGCAATTGTCATTTTGGAGTGAACTAACCCCTTAAAGCACTCCTATTTATGTACACCATTGAGCCACAAGCACAGTAGTATATCTACTAATGGATGAAGACGTGGTATTGTGGGTAAACATAATCTGAGTGACTGTGCAAATGACATGGACAGGCTTCAGGTTTAAGTCTTTTGAGTAGAAGAGTCCCTCAGGCCACATCCAGAACCCCAGCAGCCACCAGCTGGCGAGAGAGCCAGTCCAGGCCCTCATGGAGTCCCATCCCACTGCGGGCATCACAGCCCTGAATGTGCCAACTGCGCCCGCAGCACAGTTTGTGCAAGCTGAGAAGCTCTGTCATCTCCTCCACAGACACTGCACCAGGGACGTCCTACAGAGACACCAATTAGAAACATTTGAACAGGAGTTTAAAATCCAGATGAAAACTAAACAAATTAATACAAATGACAATGTTGTCAGCTGTGGTGGGCTGAGCGAGACTTCATGAAACACCAAAACAGTCGAAGCTTCGAAACCTGTCACTATAGACACCTAGGGCTCTATTTTGACGATCCATGCACAAAGTGCAAAGCGTGGGGTGCAGGGCACAAATGCATTAAGGGCGTTTCGGAATCCATTTTTGCTAATTTAAGGACAGAAAAATCCACTTTGCGTTGTGGCGCATGGTCTAAAAGGGTTGAGCTTATTTTCTTAACTAGCTATAGGTGTGTTATAGGTTATAGAATTAGGGTATCTTCCGTCCAATCCATATCAGTTTTTAAACAAAAAAGGAAACTGAAGAAAACGGCTGTTTTTCATTTGCTCACAAGTATTGAAAAAAAAAAAAAATGAAATTTTGGCTCCATTTTCATTTTTTTAAATTTAGGGTAAAAAATGGATAAATGACTTCAAAATTCATTATACACATGTAGGCGGTGATAAAATGCCAACTTTCCTTTGATTGGTTATCCAAATCTGAGCTCGTGACGTAGCTCTCAAAATAAAAGCCCTCTGTGGACAAGCACCCAGACTTTTAACTATTATTATTATTTAATTACATATATAAACTAAGTTTACATATTCTGTCATTTGAACAGTTAGCAGGCTTACATTCATTGCATATGCATAAATTAAATAAAAATGTAAATTAGCAGTATTATTAAACATTTGTCATTAAAATAAGGTCAGTTTGCATTGGGCTCTCATATATATATATATATATATATATATATATATATATATATATATATATATATATATATATATATGTGTGTGTGTGTGTGTGTATGTATATATATATATATATATATATATATATATATATATATGAGGTGGAAAGAGTAATAAAGTCTTGTACTCAAGTAAAAGAACTGTTACTTACAAAAAATTTTACTCAAGTAAAAGTAAAGTTACATGTCTATGAATCTACTTAAATAAAAGTAAAAAAAAATAACTCATTAAAAATGTACTCATGAGTAAAAAGTAAAGAGTAACTCACTCAAAAAGGACAAGACGATATAAATCTCCAACTAGTTGTTTGTATTTGTATAAGTAACTTTAAAAATTAAAGACCAATAACAAAAAATTCTATATTATTTAAAATGTTTTACAGATTATCCTATTTAACAATTTATACATATTCAAAAATTGTCATGCAACATCTTCTGTGTTAGCTAAATGGGCTATATGCACACAGACTTTTAATTTTCAGCGAGGCAGCCTAATGGCTTCCGATAACGTTTTTCCATTTTAAAATTGTCACGTTTAAAATCTGATTTCTTTAAGTGAAGTTTATTCATAAACTAATTTCGAGAGGAGCACGTGATTATGATTGAACACGGCTGGTTCTGCATTAGCATGCTTGATCCACCAATCAGGCCATTCCTAACCACTATGAAGAGCCAGGGATTTCTCACTACAGTCATCTTCGATTTGAAGAACACACTGCTCTGCATCAGCTGCTACTGCTACTGCTACTGCTACTGCTACTGCTTCTCCAGCTACATCAACTTCTCCAGCTACATCAACTTCTCCAGCTACAACAACTTCTCCAGCTACAACAACTTCTCCAGCTACAACAACTTCTCCAGCTACAACAACTTCTCCAGCTACAACAACTTCTCCAGCTACAACAACAACAACTTCTCCAACAACAACAACAACTTCTTCAACAACTTATCCAACTACAACTTCTCAACCTTCTACTTCAAATTGCCTCACACAATGCAATCTCTGTGTCTTCAACCCAATTCTCCAACAAGATCACAGTAAAAAACTCGATCACCATCCATGAACTTTGTCTAAACTCTTGATGCCTGCGATCCAAGCTGAACTCTCTTCTAGGGGTGCACCAGCGGTAACATACATGACACTTTTTAAGGGGAAGCCTCACAAACTACAACTTAGATTAAACATCCATCTTTAAAGGATGATTCTAGCGTGAATAGAATGACTCACCTCTCATTCAAGGTTCTAGACAATCCAATCCTTAAAACATCAGTCCACAACTTATGCATACATTGATAAACATCCATGTTAATCCTCCAAACTAGTCGCTGTGGTGCATTCAATAGAGTAGCATCTCCAATCATAACACTAGTTCTCTGGCAAACAAAATGGCCGCCAGCCTTTTTCTGCAACTTTGATTGACACTCCTTCGAGCCACTAGCTGAAAGGAGAAGCGTCACCATCCAATGAACTCTCAAAAAAAAAAAAAAAAAAAAAAAAAAAATTTAGATGGTCCCACCCTCTCTCTTGACAAGCTCATGAATGATTATCATTACATTTACACAATTACTACTAAATGGTGACATTAATTTTAAGTTTAGGGTTTGATGTTGGCAGATGATTAATAAATAAATACATAATGAATGAATAAATAAATAATAAAGAAAATAAATAATTATAAAATGTATAAATCAAGAAAAAAAACAAAAAAAAAAACACTGCCACATCTGATAGCAGTTTAACTTCTAAAAAGTTTACTCTGCTACTGAAAAACATTCAACGCATTAGGCATAGAAGTCCAATCGTAATATGCCCCAGTGACTCATGTCCATACACTTATAAGCCATAAGCTTATAATGGCAAGTTGGTTAGATGTGAAAACGGCAAAGAAACAAACTTCCCGCTTTGACTTCCACGAATGAGAGGAGGACATTTCTGACATGTCTGATGTTTCATCAATTGACTCTGCGTTAGATACAAACCAAGGGGTTTAAACTCCACTATAATTCCACCTACCCTGTCTTCAAGAGGTACATCAGGACCACTAGACGAGCAGATTTCCCATTTAATCTGCCATCCTTAGGAGGAACAAATGCCTACCTCTACTATCTTTGCACGTTGCGACAATGAGGCTTTGTACCATGCATTAACAAAGGCACTTCCACACTTAGTTGCCCATGCTCTTAAGACGCCCCGCATGGTTATCAGCTAAAATAATTTGTGTTTGCCACACATGTACCATGTTGTAATGTCATTTCTGATTCTCTTTTGTTTTTCTCATTTCAGAGATCATGTCAGCTGGTTGCAGAAGCTGACCCTCATCCAACCTATTACACTCCACATCCATTTCTAAATACATTTACACTCTTTGCAAATGACACTTTTCCACTCACATTGCCCACACCCTCGATGCCATATTCACACTAGCCTTTTTAATTTAAGTCTTCTGAACTAAGTATGACATTTCAATCCAACAATACACCTAACCATATCTGATCTATCTTCGCAGGATGAAGGGATGCAGGATGATATCCGTTCCCCCACACACCCGTTCTAAACAGGCCCGGATTGGCTAATCGGGAGGACCGGGAGAATTCCCGGTGGGCCGGTCCTTTTTTTTGGCCGCGAGGGCCGGTGCCCCTAGCTCCAGAATCTGTTGCTCTTAGCAGTGACACCTTTTTAATTTATTTACTTGACCACAGCCTTTTTATTCATTATTTTACCGCAACTTTTCTCTTTTGTCGTGGTCGAGTGGTTAGCACGTTAGGTTAAGACGCCGCGGACCCGGGTTCGATCCTTGCTAGAGTAATTTAGTGTTTTCATTTTTATTGATAAGACATCTAATACTGTTAGGGTTGTAGAACATTTGAAGTTCTAAAGCAGCAGTTTTCTCAAAAAAAAAAAAAAAAAAAAACATGATAGTGCCATTAGAAACTGATTTGGAAATATTTAATTTACTTATTTTAATATAGCCAGTCGTGAACTGAGGTGGGCTTGTCTGAGGCTTGAAACTCCAGAGCTGAAAAGGTGTCCCACTCCGGCCCTGGTTCTAAACCTCTTAGCATTTTTTACACCACAGAAGAGCAATACCACCTCGGGGAAGCCCAGCCGATCCTCTACAGCCAACTTCCACCATCATGCATTATCGGGTATGAAGTATGACTCTGTCATTTCCTTCCTATTTCCCTTCCTATTTAACATAGGAGCTCCTTCACTACCCTTCCCTGTTTTTCTAGCTTTAACTTTTTCTCTCCAAATTTAAACTATCCTATACTTCTATTCACTTTCATTCACCACAGCTCGGACCAATTCAGGGGTTGTCTTGAGTTTCAGTTGCTGCAACAGGAACGTTCTAAATGAGCTTGCATACACTTACAAATTTTCTAAATACCACTATCGTTGCACTTCCCGCACTAATACAGCAGTAAATGCTTCTGCGGAAGCACAAGTTGCCTCCATACTGGCCCACTACACCACTGCAGCCGCAGAAATGCTCCGCAGAGTTGCACACCCAAAGCATCACTGCTACCGCAGTGACCCTCTAGCATATGCCTTATTCACCTTCATCTTTACATATCACTAAAGGCAGTATTTAACGTCCCTGCGGGAGCACTCAAAACTTACTAATATCGACTGTTTAGGTGCTCCACTTAACTATACACCCCATTAACATCACTGCAACTGCAGTGACGCTCTAGCTGAGCCCCTTTTTTACTTTCATCTCTAAATATCACTGCTAATAGTACTTAGTATTTCCGTGTGAGGCTCTAATACTGAGTACCACTGCACCTCTGCTACTGCAGAGACGCTTTGCCGAGCCTTATTCTCCCTCTGCACCACTGCTGCAACAGTTAAGCTTTGCCTGAGCTGCAACTGCAGAGACGGCTGTTTAGCCTTAATTCTCTGCACCACTGATTTTATTGCACTTCTGTAACTGCAGAGAAGCTCTGCTGAGATTTATTTTTTCCCCTGCACCAATGCTGCAGCAGTGACGCCCTGCCTGAACAGTCTTCCAACAACAGATATAAACTCTGTCATTGGTCCTCTAACACCTTTAAATCCTCAATTTGCCTCAGCCAATATTTCCTCAGAGAAGCCCAGCTGATTCTCGGTTGCAGACTTCAACCTAGTTTCTAAGCAGCACGACTCTGTCTGTTCTTCCTA